CTTCCAAAAGAATGCAATTGTTAGATTCTTTTTCCTTTTTAATACACCTAATATAATTTCTGCACAAAAGGGGACAGTTAAAGCTACAATTTAATTACATGTTATCATTTGTATGTTACTGCTCTTTCTGATTAAATGCAATATTTTATTGCTTTAACCAATTTCTTAGCAGCCTAGGGCAACTGGTTGGTAGAGGGGGGAAAGCAGGTGAGTGCGTGAGAGAGAGTGTGTGTGTGTGTGTGTGTGTGTGTGTGTGTGTGTGTGTGTGTGCATGCACGCGCGCAGAGATGCTGAACTGTATAGCTCCCACAACATATACCAGATTCTTCTTTCTGCTCCCTGTTTCACACTATAAAGGATAAGTTTTGAAAAAACTAACTCTGCTTACAATTGAAAATAAGTATTTTGGGAAGAAAGATTTGGTGGAGAAAAATAAGCCAACACATTTGTACAACTGCTTCCTCTCATCATATTCCAATAACTAAGCAAGCCCTCCATGCAAGCTTTACACATATGCTATACTGCCCAGATAAACTATCAATGATTTATATTACTTCGATTGAAATCAATCCTATTTATAGAAATGAGAAACACTTTAGCAGTATTAACTTTCAACAGAACTCCCCTGCAGAGGAAGGCAGAACGCGCTCCAACGGAGCAAAGCTCAGGGAACCAAGGTTCCATTTAGATACCAGGAAGCACTTCCTGACAGTCAGGACCCCGAGAGTGTGGAATGGGCTTCCACGAGAGGTCGTTGAGGCCCCATCGGTGCGGGTGTTCAAAGATAGGCCGGACATGCACATGGTGGGCATGTCGTGAGCGGAGCCGGGGGTCAGACTAGATGGTCCGGAAGTACCCTTCTGACTTACCCTGTTTCTATGTTTCAGAAGGCCAGCTCCTGAGATAACCGAGTTTTCCAGTGAAACTATTACAAAATCCAATGCTTTGTATTTTCTGTATGGGTAAACTACCCCGTAATACCATCACCAAACCTAACTATTCAGTTGTAAAGAATGTTTTATATTTATCCTTACAAACTGGCCTAGTTCATACATCAAGCAGAACCATACACAAGCAGAAAGAAGGAACTGCAATACTCAGATCTGCACAGTCACACCTCCCTTCTGCACAGCTCGGAGGAATCTGGAAGCTTCCACTTCTAGTAACCAGTTTGTTGAATTTTTCGTTAGTTATTTTTGTATTTAAACATTAGTCACAGTTAGTATAAAAACACAGCAAACTCATTACTGAATAGTTAAGATTAACGACAGTGCTAAGGTCTAAACAAGGTCTGGGCCACTTGTTATGTTAAGGCATTATGCTAAACTTTGGCTATGTTAATAAGCCTCAAGGACAAGTTGAGGCTTCCAATGTTAAGCACAGTTTTCATAATTGACAAATGTGGAAAAACTGATTCATTTTAACTATGGGTTACTAAAGCAAGTCAACTTGAAACTATGGTTTATGAAGCCTTGGCTAAGTACAGCTTAGTTAACTTTAATCACAATTTAGGATTCATATCTAAAGCTAAAGCTGATTTAAAAAGTGGAAGTGCTGATGGAGAAAAGAGCTGATGAGCCTGAGATTAATTTTGCACAAAGAATCAACATTTAGCATTATATCCAAACCAGGTCACTGTGAATTAATCATTAATAGTATTCACAGTGCCAGTGAAATTATGGCTAATCTAGGATTTGAATATTCAGCAGTCTCCTTAGGGGTATCTTATTTATCAGGTGGTCAAGTCACACATTATAAAGCCATGTTAATCATTACATATTCATTTAATTTATATATACATTAATTGGTATTACTGTTCCTGTTTTAGGAACTACTGTAAGCTACCCAGAGAGCTTTGACAATTGTGCATTACAGAAATGCAATAAAGATAATGATTGGGGCTTTTTTTTACTTAACTGTAACATCTGAGCATTTCACTTTTGATAAAACTGAACATAAAGGTACACAAAAGTTACTCACCCCGTATCATTCACAATTCCCTTTACTGCCCAGTTACAAGAATTTCATCATTTGTACTCATACTTTGCAAGACTAGTGCTTCATACACAGCCTGACAAACCTCTTTAGCAGGATTGGAAAATCACAGCATGTTAGTCTTCTCCCAATTCTGGACTCCACAGTTGCTCAGTCATCTCATTATAACATACTGACCAGGTCAAACATAATACAGATTCAGGTGCTGTTTCATTAATGAATTGATACAGCTGCAATTGTGCAGAGTGTGCAACTGTGCCGCTTCCTGCACAACTCACTACTTCCATTTTTCATGCACTTTCATCAACAATGCCCTGTTCCTGGGATATTCTGATATATGACATGTGAACCCAGAATTCTAGGTTGCTGGGGGGAATATAGACCAGAGTTTGGGAAGATGAGCACCCTCCAGCTTTGCAGGCAAGGAACAGCTCTTTCTTTACCATCCATGCCACAAATTTGATTTCCATTAAGACAAAAGAACAGCTTCTCTTACTAAGATGATAAGCCTCCCTCCAAACTGTCATAGAATTTTAGAGCCAAGCTTAAAAGTGAAATGCAAACTTCAAGCTAAGCAAGAAGCAACTGCTTCAGGACGGGAAAAAAAGCAATCCAAAGAGTCAAGCCAAGTCAAAGTAACACACCTCTCTCCTTACTCTTCACCACTGTACCTATTTCCTCACTGGTGAATTAAAAAAGCAGCACCACCACTGCTTGATACATCATATGAAAGTCTTTAATTACAATTCACAAGGGAACAAGGAGCAGAAGGAGTCATATCCCTATTTCACTACCTCTGCAAATGGAAACACTCTCAGCTGTCTGGGTAGTGGTTTCAAATCCTCAGTTACAAAGAGACGTAGATGCAAAGTGCCTGCCCATGTTCCAGCTTGCCCCATACTTTGTTGCAGTAGTAAATGGCTATAGAATGGGGCCCACCAGCTTCCCATTATTTGATACTTCTGCCCACAGTTTAATTACAAGGGCCACAGAGTCTCAAAGCTAAAAGGCACATGAGAATTCCACTATACTAAAGCACAAGGAAGTAACGAACAGTGTGAAAGTTGCTAAGGTGAAATAGTCCAAGGGAAAAGGCAGCTACCATTATGCAAGGAATTTGTGTTTATTTATTTATTTGTAGCATTTTAATACTGGCCAATAGCTGAAGCTTTCTGGGCTGTTCACAGGAATCTGAAACATAAAAATTAAAGAATTTAAAACATAAAAGCAGGAATCAGAAGGTTTGTTACTCCCTACAAGGTTATAGGCAAAAGTCTCTCTTTGTAGGAGGGAATTGGTTTTGGTTGTCACTGGTACTTCAAATTACATGCTGGAATGAAAGCAATAGCCCTCAAAGCAAGGTTCATTCCTGCCATCAATCAAAATACTCTTGCTACTGAGGTCAATCCCCACAGCTCGGGTAGCACATAATGCCCCACATTTACAGCTGCCACTTCGCTCCTACACCTGGAATGCGCTATCCCCATTCTCAAGGTGGCTCTGAGCCTGCAAGGTATAAGTCTGAGCACTTGTCCGGAAGGATAGGATACAAGTGTTTGTAATAAATAAATAATAAAGTCTTGCGCTTTTCCATGCCCTCTTCCTCAAACTAGGAAGAGTACACATCTTCCTCTCACTCACTCACAAGACCTGAAATTTCAGATGTTCTAATCAGGAAGATGCTACGGGGGAGGGGGGGGGAAGCCCTGGAGGCATTTGTTGTCCAAGCCCTGAAAGATAGCAATGAACAGCAGAGAGCATTCTGGCCTATGGTAGGCCACCTGATCCAAATACCATGAAGATCACTGCCTGGAAGCCCTTTGCAAACCAAGAGAACTGATAAAGCACAGAAAAGAGGGCAGAAGATTCATTCCTACCATAAGTAGGATCAACAGATTGAAGCCCAAAGGCCAAATCCAGCTGCAGCAGTGTTACCAACTGATTAAGAGAAGGCCGTTGAGCAGCAGCATGGCCTAATGCCCTGTGATTTTCACATTTTGAACAAAAAAAAAAAAAAAACAGCAGGTGAAGCTTTTCAACATGCAGAAATCATCATCATCTCATCACTGCCAGAAAACGTCTTCAGATCAAGAACCTGTTAAGCACACAGAAGGCTTGGAGCAAAAAGCAAAAGGAAGTTGGCAACTTGCAAGTTACCGGCAACCGCGAGGCAAGGGGGAGTGCAAAAGAAGTGGCGATGGCAGTGTGTTAATGGGAGCTAAGGGAGACTAAATTAGTTTATAGCTTTGCATCCTTGCAGGATCCCCACACACACCTGCTCTCCTCCACCCCCAGGAACCCTGAGCAGGGATCTACTCCTGGAAGGAACTGCTTAAGGCAAGAGCCTGGCCGGCACATAAGAAAGCTGCCTTGTACAGAATCAGCCCATGGACCCGGGTGCTCTGCATTATTTCCGGGCTGACAGCAGCCCTCGTACGCTATAGACTGGAGGGGTCGTTGTTTCGTGTGTGTTTCTGCAAGACCAGTCCTTCCAGGCGTTTTAAGGCTACACTGCCCATCAGCCCCGTCAAGGATACCGGGAGCTGCAGTCCAGAGAGAACATCTGCAAGGCCCCAGGGTGGGGGAAGGACGCTGGAGCCTGATGTGCTTTTCTCATGTGCTTGAGCTACCGGGGAAGAAGGGAAGGAAGGAAGAAAAGCCCCTCCGGCCTTCCTCCTGCCGCTCGCATCCCTCCTGCGAGAACTCTCTCCTACCGCGAGCTCCCTGACGGATCTCCCCCACCATGGGGAGGGGAGCGGAGCGGAGCGGGGCCGAGCCCTCCCCGCTCAGGGGGCCCCCTCCTCAGGGAGCTCCGTGAGGGGCCAAGGCTCTCCACCCGCTCCTCACGAACAACCCTCCCTTCGCCGCGGGTGGGTCTCCTGCGAGGCAGGCCGGCCGGCCGCCCGGTCCCAGCCGCTGCGTTCCCGTCAGTGCCAGGCGCTCCGAGCGATGGAGGGGATGGAGAGGAGAGAGGACAGCGGCTGAGCCCCGCAGGGGTCGGTTACCTGGCACCCGGCTCGCTCCGTCCCGCAGCGCGCCTGCGCGCGCGGCAAGCGCCCCCCCGCCGGCGAGACCCGCTGACACCAAGGCGGAAGCGAGACCCGGGCCGCTGCCCTGTCAACCCCACTCCTCTTCGCCTCGGTCCCGCCCCTCCTCTTTCCCAAGGATAGACAGGCCGCAGCTCCCAATCGGGAGGGCGCAGAGCGGCGTGACGAAAGCAGAGCCCTCCCCTACCTCCACCGCCCTCGAGCAGGCCAATGGGCTGCGAGGGGCGGGCGCGGGTATGCTAATGACAGGCGGCGGAGGTCGCCGGCGCTCCGAGCGCCCTGCCCGCTGTCCCGGCGCTGCGGGGGGCGCGCGGGCCAATGGCGCGGGCGGATTGGGGCGTGGCCACGCAGGCACGAGGGGCAGGGATCCCGTCGAGCCGCCCCCGCGCGGCGTTGGTCAGCCTACCTGTCCTCGCAGCTCCCCTGGCGGCCGGGCGGGAGGAGGGCGAGGTGGGAGCGGGGTGCTGGGCGCTCTCGTCTTCCTCTCTTCCAAAGGATCTTCGAGCGGGCAGTTGGGGTTGCATAATTCTGCATGTTTTCATATGCCTGGTGTGTTTACTCCGAAGCAAGTCCAGCGGTGCCCCGTGGAATTTGCTCGCTAGCTAAGGTGCATAGGATCGCACCCAGCCAGTGGAGGACTTGCAGAAAAGTGCATGGTATTAAATGGTGTCTGTTCAGAATTGGGTCCCACTAAATCTTATTTATTATTAATACATAATAAACCATTTGAGAGCAAGCATGATGGAGGGATTTGTGTGTTGGCGTGGGACTAGGGAGATCCCAGCTCCAGTTTCTACATGGCCATGGACCCCATTGCAATCCAGCGCTCAGCATGCCAGTTGCAAACTTTGCCATTTGGCTAATAACTGTCAAATCACATGGTTTCCCGTGTCATGCAAACCCAGCAAGGTATGCAAGGGAGTGTAGCTTTAAATGTACTCCAGAACCTCTGGTTTGTTGTAGTGTTTGAAGCTGTAACCTGCTGCTTACCTTGCTGGGTAAACTATGGTGTTTTCAGAAAATGTTTAAAACATGCATTTTCTCCCTGCCGCCACAAACTACACTAGGGAGGGTGTCGCATCTGCCAACAAGAAGATATTGCATGGAGACATTTGGTTAGTGACAGCACAACTAGCAAGGCCTCCTCAAAAGGAGTGATCCTATGCCTGCTTCCATCCAAGAAAAAAATCCTACAGTTCCCGGCATCCCCCAGCCAGCACAAACGGTTGCGTAATGCTAGGAGTTGTAAAACCTTTTCTGTTTAAACTTGCATAGGGTTGCAGCCAAAAGGCCAGTATATACAGGGGAAGGTGAGATGTTTGCTAGAAGCTGAGTTACTCTCAGGTAAGTATAGAATTGCACCCATTTACATTTTTATTCATTTTACAATTGCAGCACTGGGGGAAAAAATCCAGTGATGCTGAATGTGATGCGTCTTTTTCTGAGCATACGTGGTTAAGAAACTTGCTCTGACATATATTAAATAGCCATACATCTTCATACAATAGCTGAAACATTCATATTTATTTTTGCAGAGGCCAGCTTAGTGAGTCCTGTTTTCATGTAAGTTCACTAATAATTACAATTAACTATAAATATTTCTGAATAAATATTCATAGGCTAGGACTGTAAATAATCTCCCTCCTACCCCAATATACCAGAATTCTTTCTATAAATAAATAATTTTAGATCCACCAACGCTCTCAGAATAGCTACAAATTGAAATCATAATACACATTACCAAACCCAAACTATGCAGAGCTAGTACAACCTCAGCAGTGACTCATATTCCAAAAGTGCGTGTGCATATTTTAAATTCTCATCAACCTCCTAACAGTGTAGGAGAAACTAGACATCATTGCTCATTTATTTTGCTGCAACTATGTATGTTGGGAATCTTGGCTGTTTTCCAAAGCATGCATTCTGTCAGCTGTCACACTGATGGGCTCTGAATTTGATCCTGTTAGTATTCCAGAGGTGGTCTGAATGGGCGTTAAAATGGGTGTTCAGTGTGAAGAAGAGCATGTTGCAACAGAGGGCTGCTGTGGTGTAGCGGGTTAAGCATGCTGGACTGAGACTTGGGATATTTGGGTTCCGGTCTCCACTAAGGTCAGTGGGTGGCTTTGAGTCAGTCACTGACTCTTAACCTAACCCACTTCACAGGTTGCTGTGAGGATAAAATGGACAGGGGAACCTTGTAATCTGCCCTGAGTTCTTTGCAAGAGGAAAAAAGGCAGGTGTTAAATGTGATGTATAATGGTAGCAGTACTGCATGTATGCAGATGGCGTTAGGGTCTTCGGTAAGGTAAAGGGTCTTGGGGTTATCGTGGCTAGCTTGATGAAAACATTGATCCTGTGGCGGCCTGCTGTGAAAAAAAGCAAAGAACATGTTGGGGCTCATTAGGAAAGGAAGAGGAATTAGAGTGGCCATATCTTAATGCCTTTATATGATTCTATGCTTCAGCTCCACTCAGAATCCCATATACCATTCTGGTCACTTTACCTCAAATCAGACCTTGTAAAGCTGAAACCAAGTATAACATTATAGGACTGGAGCAACTCCTTTTTGGGGAAAGGTTAGAACAGCTGGGGAATTTCTGCTTAGAAAAGGAACAAGGAGGGGCTGAATCACAGAATCATATGGGGGAAGTGGATTTTCCCCCCTTTTCTCATGAAAATCCAGGTGAAATTGAGGGCAGAGGGGTGGCTTTGAATGGGGTTTAAAGCTTTCCCTGGCTGTCTTCCAGGCTTCTGTTCATCCACTGCAGGAACTTTGGTCTGGGATGGGGCTTTGATTTGGTCTACAAGGACTCCTCTGATGTTCACAATAGCCGCTTAGTATGTACTGTATTTATATCCCACCTTTTTCTCCTTCCCAGGAATTCGGGTTGGCTTGCATAATGTTATTCTCTCTCTTCCTCTTTTTCTCACAGCAACAGTCCTGTGAGGTAGGCTGGGCTGAAAGCCTGGGACTGGCCCAAAGTCACCCAGGCGGCTCCGTGCTTGAGTGGGGACCAGGACCCAGGTTGCCTGGGCCCAGTCTTGCTCTCTTAACCACTACACCGCACCAGCTTTCACGATTTATGTGCGATTGGGAGGCAGGAAGGAGTAGCAAGGGGAACACACACTCCTGCCCTTGACCTCGGGCAGCAAAATTTCGTGGGCCTTCTTTGGCCATTATTACAGTTTTGTCGGTCCCGTGTTTAGCCAAGGGAAGGAAGCCTGCTGCTCATTTCATGGTTCATGAAGGGATATATATTTAACAACAGCTCTGTGACATAGCGATGGCATGACTCACTCCTCATGTTGATTTAGCTCTCCATATTGCCAAGAATCCCATGAACTGCAGGGCCGCTCACATGGTCGTTACACAGTGCTAACTCCATAAGCGTGTGCTTGCTGCACCCGACTGTCCAACTTGCTACAAACCATGAATGACGAATGGCTAAGCAAGCTTTAGACAATTTAACAGGAAGGTTTATCCACATAAATCTTTACATTACAAATCAGTATCCAGATTAACTGGTTGGGATGAAAAAGAAAGGATGATTACCACTGAGGCTGTGGAAACATGCCGATTCCCTTCCTTTTGTGCTACATACATTGTAAATAAATTGTTTAAGCTAAAATCTTTTGCATGCTCAATCAGAAAGGAACCGCACAACTTCCCTTTAGACTGCTGTGCTGGCTGGAGAAGGCTGGGAGTTGTAGGCTCTTTTTGTCAACATGTGCATAAGATTGAAGCTTCCGAGACTATTTTTCCTTGAGTTGCATCAATACCTTGCCTTTTCAGTTTGAAATTGATGTCACTACATAGTCCGTGATCCAGTGTTCTCACATTACTGATGGGATCTGCATGTCCTCATTTTTTAAACTATCTCAGCTTAGTTGTAGTTCTGTAATAGAGAGCATTGTGTTATCGGCTTTCCAAATTGATTAAAAATAAAATAAACTTCTATTTTGTGATGTGTTTATTTATTTATTATATTTATATGCCACTCTTACAGTAAAAGGGCCAGCGTACAGCAAAAACAAGAACAAGAATACAAGCAATATGACAATAAAAGCAACAGTGCAAGAATAAAATCTATTCAGAATATAAAACCTGATAACAATGTGATAAAATAGAAACATTTAAGCTACAGCTGTTGTTGTGTGCTGTTAAGTCATTGCCAACTTACGGTGAACCTATGAATGAAAGCTCTCCAAAACGGTCCTATTCAAAAAGGTCTCCAGAATGTCCCATCCATGACACCAGGGTTCAGCTCTAGTAAAGGCTTTGGCGAATGGGGCGGCATAAAAATGTTTTAATAAATAAATAAAATTCAAATTCAAGCCACCCACCTCATATTTGATCTTCCCTTTCTTCTGCCTTTGCATTTCCCTAGCCTAACTCTCTTCTCCAATAAGTTTTGGCTTCTCATGATGGGCCCAAAGTAAGACAGCCTCACTTTTTCCCTCACCAGGGAAAGCTCTGGCTTGATTTGATCTAGAACCTACAGTATAAAATAAAAATAGCAACCAAAGCATGGCCTTTTCGTCTCACAGGAATGGGCTGACTTTCTGTATTAAATCTTAAATGATCTCATGCAAGATTATGAATTGCAGAGAGGAATGGTGTTCGGGACTGGCAGAACCCTTTTTTGCAAGAGTTTCCCCCAAAAGAATGAAAACAATACCATCAGAGGTCAGTCCTCACCAGAGCACCCCAGTTTGTCCAGCTGGGCTCCCTTGCCAAAGGCCAGCTTCTTTCAGCCCAGTTTGTGGCGGGGGGGGGGGGGGCAGTGGGGATAAAAAGAACACCACTTTGCATTGTTTTGCCCAAAGAGTGTAAACCCAGAACCTAAGAACAACAACTTAAAAACCTTAAGAATATTTTTGCAGGTGGGGAAGCCTTTAGTGTAAAATCCCCTTTGACAACAATACAGCCAAACGCCCTGGAGTAACAAGGAAATTACTTGGGGAAAAGAGAAACTGGGAAGAACAGGAGGAAGCACCAATCACAACACAAATAGCACCAGTCCTCAGTCAACTTACAGGACATGTCATATACCTTCAGGCAGAGTAAGCACGGCTGGCCCACCCATTAAGAATATTGAG